GCGGCGGCAGCGGCGGCGGCAGCGGCGGCGCGGCGCAGCAGTCACCTCACTCTAGCTTTCAGAGTGATGCGATTGTGCCGTCCGACGGTCCACGTGGACACCTCCCCTCTCAAATTCAATCCCTGCGACCTCCTTTTCAGCGAGGACCTGTTCGACGATCCAACCGCCGCCGCCGGTCTCCCCCGCTTCCTCAGCAGCCAATCGAATCCCTCTGTCGTGGATCCCTTCGATCTTAGCTACCGCAACAGATTCCTCCTCCAGCACCCTACCGACTCGCTCGGCCTCCCAGGCCTTCTCGTCCTCCCCCAATCATTTGGGTATTTTGGCTGCACACACGCGCGCGGGCGCACACACAAATCTCTTTGTTTTGTTGAATGTATTTGGAAATTGCTGATTGATGTTTCTCCTCACTGTGAGGTGATAAATGTTAGATGAACTGTGTTATTTGGCCAATCATTTTCATTTTTTCTTGGGCTAGGGCGATATATCTTGGGAAGACATTCTGCAGTTACATAAGTATCAACAACAGCTCAAGTTTTGAAGTTCGTGATGTTGTGATTAAGGTAGAATACATGTTCATTTGTGTATGTAGTGATTTCCCGAGTCGTTTAGATTTGGAATTTCTTTCGAATGAGCTAAAGTGGAGTTACTGGAGAATGAATGAATAACTTGATTCAATTTATTTTCGTTTGCAACTCAAAAATATGAGAAATTTCATATTTGATTGTTTAGGCTGAAACCCAAACAGAAAGATAGAGGATACTGCTTCTGGATACATCGAAATCACCTGTTGAATCAGTACGTGTCGGGGGGCGATACGATTTTATTGTGGAGCATGATGTGAAAGAACTTGGTGCACACACGTAAGGGAATTCAAAGAAGTGCTTATTTTGGTTCACTTGTTCTGTGGCACACTGTACTCTAACTAGTTTAATTGTGGTGGTTTTGTATAGCTTGGTGTGCACTGCACTTTACACTGATGGTGGAAATGAGAGGAAGTATCTCCCACAGTTTTTCAAGTTTGTAGTTTCTAACTCCATCTCAGTACGGACAAAGGTACTCTTTGATATAAGATATCCATGTCATGTAATTTGCACGTTCCATGTTTGGATAACCTTAGATGTTGATTTCCAGGAAGTGATAGTAACTCTTCTTTAATGCAGGTTCGCAATGTTAAGGTATGTTGAAGATGGTGAAAGTTTTTTGGTGTGTAAGTGTGTCACCTTCCAAAAAACAATTTTTTTGCGTGTGCATAATGATTTATTGCTACATGATTTGTTAAGAATGAGGATTTTCGAGATGTTTTGTCTGATTTTTAGGGTGTTTACTTGTCTATGTTATAGTGTTGGTTTTCCTTATTCTGAAGGGCCCTTGGAGTGATTTCCATGGACATATAATCAAATTGTTCTCGGAAACAATAATTTGCATTTTATTTGAGCTCTGGCAGGCGGCAGCTGGCCAGCTGCAAGATAACCATTTCTTCTATTCAATATATTCAATTTACTCTCACAGGACACAACGTTTTTGGAGGCTTGTTTAGAAAATCATACAAAATCTCACCTTTATATAGACCAAGTTGAATTCGAGCCAGCTCAGCATTGGGTTGCAACTGTGCTAAAAGCTACTGATAATTCCTTTGATCATAATCCATTAGCAAGGTAATTTAGCAATATTACTTACTCAAGAGCTAGTGATAAGATATTCAATTCTTGAAAAAAAAAAAATGATACTAGTGGATCTAATTTGTTAGCATCATTTTTTATTTTTATATTTTTGTATCTCTTGTGTTTGTATTTTGTTTTTCCAGAGAAAATTTCAAGGAACCCATTCTCATTAGACATGGGGGAGGAATTTATAATTATCTGTATCAGCTGAAATTTTCGCCACCTGATGGTGCACAAATGAAAATTGAGGGAAGTAAGATTCTATGTAAATTTCAGATAACATGGCGTACAAATTTGGGTGAACCTGGTCGCCTGCAAACCCAACATATACTTGGTAATGTAAGTTGAAATTTTTATCTCCCTTTATAGTTCAAATATGAAGATTACCGTAAAATGGCATCTCCAATACTGTAGCTGTCATCTCAAAAAATTGCACCATACAAGTCATTTTCTGCTTCTCTACTTCCTTTTATGTTTTTCAATTTATATTGTACTGGTATATTACTGAAAATCAGAAGAGATCCATCTTT